GAATTTTTAAAAGAGATGATGGTCATTTCCTGCATATTTCCTGACTTATTTTATATCCCTCTTCTCTGACTTTTTTCTTCTGTGTTTCTACCACCTACATGCCAGCCAAGCCGGAATTCTGGAGTCCACCCTGACCCTGTGAACCAAAACATATCTGAGACACATTTCAATCAACTCGGAGGTTTATTTTGCCAAGGTTAAGGACCACGACCCACGACACAGCCTCGGGAAGTCCTGAGAACACATGCCCAAGGCAGATAGGTTACAGCTTGGTTTTATATTACACATTTTAGGGAGACAGAAGTTACAAAGACATAAATCAACACTTGTAAGGTATACATTGATTTGGCCCGGAAAGGTGGGGCATTTCTGAGCCGGGGGAGCTTATAAGTCATAGGTGGATTTAAAGATTTCCTGATTGGCAACTGGTTGAGAGTTGAGCTTTTCCTAAAGAATTGAAGTCAGCAGAAAGAGAGGCTCTCATTGAGATAAGGGGGACTGGAAGCCAAGGTTCTTGCTATGTTCTTGTTACATAGATGAAGCCTCTAAGTAGCTGTAGATGATAAATGTCTCTTATGGAATTTTTTTTTTTTTTTTTTTGAGACAGAGTTTCGCTCTTGTTACCCAGGCTGGAGTGCAATGGCGCGATCTCGGCTCACTGCAACCTCCACCTCCTGGGTTCAGGCAATTCTCCTGCCTCAGCCTCCTGAGTAGCTGGGATTACAGGCACGTGCCATCATGCCCAGCTAATTTTTTTTGTATTTCTAGTAGAGACAGGGTTTCACCATGTTGACCAGGATGGTCTCGGTTTCTTGACCTCGTGATTTACCTACCTCAGCCTCCCAAAGTGCTGGGATTACAGGCGTGAGCCACCGCGCCCGGCCTCTTATGGAATCTTAAAAGGTGTTAGACTCCCTGGAGAAGACCTAAGTAAGGGAAGGAGATTCTCCACAGAATGCACATCTCCCCCGCAAAGACCAGTTTTGCAGGGTCATTTCAGGATATGTCAAAGAAATATATTTTGGGCTAAAATACTTAGATTTCCGTCAGAGCCTGCTGTCATGTGATGCTATACCAGAGCTAAGTTGGAATTTGGTATCTCATTGCTACAAATAGTCTGTTTTGTCAGTCTTATGATCTCTGTTTTAATACTGACATTGGTCAGCGGTGCCTAAATTCCAAAGGGTGTGGTTATAAGGAGATATGTTGGACTTCCCTCTTCCTGTCATGACCTGAACTAGTTTTTCAGGCTTTTGGAGGGTCCCCCTGGCCAAGATGGGGGTCCATTCAGTCAGTTGGGAGGCTTAGAATTTTACTTTTGGTCTGCATCCCTCCCTATCTCTCACTTCCACATCCAATCAGTCACAGAGTCTTGTGGTCTCTTCCTTTCCCAATCCTCGGCCCAGCTCAGACCTCAGCCACTGTCTCTGGACCATCACAAAGGCCTGGCCTCCTAGAGATCACCCTCCAAATTCCTCTCCCTCTCCATTCTGAGTCAGCTTGAACCAGGATAATATTCAGTTTACTCAGCTACTATCCTTGAGGGAAGAAAAGGAAGCCAAAAGCTCCCAGTCTTGACAGGGGAGGAAAATAGTGCTTAATGGGGATCACTGGACCTGTGTTTTCAGGTGGCAGATCTCAGGAGGGTTGGGAAGAAATTGATTAGTAGGCATCAGAAGGAGAGCAAAAAAACCTCTGTATCACTGAGTACTAGTTGGGAGTCCTCAGAGGTCAGGATGCTGGCTGGGCTGCCTCTGCTGCTGGGAGTGCAGGCACTGGCCATTTCATCTTAGCCTTTCCATACGGCTCACACCCAGCCCACACATGCCTTAGCAGGTTTTTACTCAGGCTAAAGGCCTGGAGCCCAGGCTCTCCCTGGCGAAACTCAGAATGGGATACTAAGACTTAATTATGGGACTATGAAAGCCCGCAGGCCCCTGGCAGGGAAGGCTGTGTGTGTTTGAGGTTGCCTGCCAGAGCATGCAAACCTTACTTGTGAGTCTGGTAATAGTGTGACCAAGGCTCAAGATTTTTTCTTTTATTTTTTTTGAGACAGGGCCTCGCTCTGTCACCCAGGCGGCAGTGCAGTGGTGCCATCATGGTTCACTGCAGCATCAACCTCCCAGGCTCAAGCAATCCTCCCACCTTAGCCTCCTGAGTAGCTGGCACTACAGGCATGTGCCATCACACCTGGCTAATTTTTTTTTCTTTTTGGTAGAGACAGAGTCTCCCTATGTTGCCCAGGCTAGTCTCAAACTCCTGGGCTAAAGCAATCCTCCCACTGCAACTTCCCAAAGTGTAGGGATTACAGGTGTGAGCTGCTATACCCAGCTCAAGATTTTTCTTTAGTTCTGAGATGTGGCATTATCTCTTGGGTGCAGAGGCATAGCAGCCTTGTTTTCTTTCTAATCAGGGTTAATACAGAGCTTGGGCCTAAGAAAACCCAAAAGGCCTTGTATTCCAGCCTCTCCGTTCTCCATGTAATGCTGAATCCCCAGAGCATTCCAAACAAAGCTAGCTCCTTCACATGCCCTTCCTTTCCTAGAAGTCCTTCTCCATCTTTGCACGGATCTTTAGAAAGCTCTTCCTGGAATCTGTCATGCACTGTGAGGGGGAGGTGCTTTTTCGTATCTATGCCTTTGCTTTGTAAGTCTGCTATGCCCTTCCCCATCTTGTCCATCAGGGCAAACACTTATTCCTTCTTCAAATCCCAGCCCCATGTCACTTTCTCCATAAAGCCTTCCTTATGTCCTGAAGACTGAGTTGATTCCATTTCTCTCCTCCCCACCCCACACCACTACCACCACAGATACTCCTGAGGGTACTACCCTGGCTGACTCATCTCTCCATCTCTAGTGCCTGGTTTAGGGCTTGGCCAAGACAGGAGGCATGAATGAATGAATGAATGAGAAGGGAAGGAAGGAAGATCTCAGATCACTTTATATAGCAATAGCCCTTGTACCACCCTCTGCTCTCTGACCCAGGTTCCTGATTTTTCTAAGCTCTTTTCTATTCCCAATCTTACTGGATCCTCACGGTGGCCTCCCTGTGGTTTAGGGTAGGGACCCACACCCTGACTGCAAATGAGGAAGCTGAGGTTCCAAGAGGAGAAGTGACTCACACAAAGTCACCTCAGAACTCCTGTGGGAGACCCAGAACTGCCTCCTTCCTTCCTCTCTTTGTTTTCCTCAGCTCCTCCCACTGACTCATATCCCTTAGGGCTACAAGAGCAGAGCTGAAATTCCTGGTGGGATCTGAGGGCTTTGGGAGGCCTGGAAGTCATTCTTGGGCAGTGAGGTGTGAGAATGAGTGCATGCAAGCTCCTCTGTGTGTGTGCGTGTTGGGAGGCTTGGCACTGAGATGTCTCCTATGTCTCCCTCCCACCTCCTTCTCCTGAAAGGAGTGTCCAGGCGGGACTAGTCATTATCAGCAGATATGGGAAGAGGGGCGGAGGCTGCAGTGAGTGGAGATAGCGCCACTATACTCCAGTCTGAGTGACAGAGCAAGACCCTGAAGCAAAAAAAAAATTAAAGAATATTATATATTCTTGAAATTATATGTTTGTATGATCATAATGTTACATACCATTCTTATAGTGGGTAAGGATCGTATAGTGTATTTCTTCAATTATGCTATTATGTAAAAAATACACAAAAGTATATATTTCTTTGACTATATACAATTCTTTGTAACATGCTATATGATTCCAAGAATATTATTTCAATATTACTATATTGATTATTAATAATATTACATACTATTTATAACTATATAACATTAATATATGATATTATATAATATTAATGTTCATATATAATATATATTCTTAGAGTCATATGGTGTGTAACATTTTGGGATTGGATACATTTCATAATTTCTTTGAAGCCTTTTCAAGTGTCAGTAGAGTGTTCCTTTATATTGCTATGCAGGATTTTATGGTATGGATATACCATCGTTTGTATACCTTTCACCTGTTGGAGAGCATCAGAGTTGTTTCCACTTTTTGACCATTACAGATGACTGTCATGAAGGTTTGTGTCCAGGTTTTGTGTGAATATGTCTTCATCTCTCTGGGATGAATGCCTAAGAGTGCGTCTGCCAGGTTGTATGATGAGTGTATTGTTTATACGAATTATCAGACTGTTTTCCAGAATGGCTGGGCCCTTTGCACTCCCACCAGCTATGCACAAGTGATCCACTTTCTCCACATTCTTGCCAATCTTTTACATATCCATGATTGTTTCCTAAGGAAAGTATTACAGAAGTGGAATTGCTGAGGCAATTTTTAGGGCATAGGGAACAGATTGCCAAATTGCTCTTCAGCAAGGTTTGTGCCAATGCTGTGTTTCAAGCTGGGTATGAAACAGCCTGTTCTTCTCCAAGCTAGGACCACCTCCTACATATCAAACAAAACAAAATCCTTAGTATTTAAATGTGTATTTCTTTGGTTACTAAGGGCCAGTATGGGGGCATCCACAGGGGTATTTTGGGTCCCTGATGCTCCTCTGTGCTTCTGAGGCAGGAGAATAGGGTCTGGAGGCAGGGAACCTAAGGCTGATTCATGCTGACTTCCTAGAACTAAATCAAATGGAAACACTTCATCTAGGACAGGAAACATCCTCTCCATTTACACAGGGCATACAATAATTAACCAATGGAAACCTCTAAAGGGTATTTAAACCCCAGAATATTCTGTAACGAGGCTCTTGAGCCCTGTGTTTGCCTGCGCCCACCCTGTAGAGTGTACTTTCATTTTTAATAAATCTCTGCTTTTGATGCTTCATTCTTTCCTTGCTTTGTTTGTGTGTTTTGTCCAATTCTTTGTTCAAAACGTCAAGAGCCTGGACACCTTCAACTGGTAACATATTTTAGTGAACCAGCCAGGAGGTAAGCCCAAAGTTTGGGATTTGTTTTTCTCCTTTCTCCTTTCCTTTCTGCTCTGTACAGGGGATTCTCTCTCTCTCTCTCTCTCTCTCTCTCTCTCTCTCTCTCTCTCTCTCTCTCTCTCTCTCTCTCTCTCTCTCTCTCTTTTTCCTTTCCTTTCCAATTCAGGACCCTTGGTGAGCAGCACCTAAACACAGAGGCAGCTGCAAGCTTCCTACATGTGGTGCAGCTCAGGGCGAACTCACATGAATTTCAGGTGACTTAAACCTTCTTTTCTTATGCAAAATTTTCCCCTTCTCCTACTCAACTGGCTAAGGGCCAGTTTCACGAAAGTTTTAGGTTACTAAGGATAAGAATTCTAGTTAACACATAATTCTGTATACAATGTGTGTCAGAAGGATAATGCTATTAGTGAGAAAAAGATTAATTTTGTGTAATTCAGAAGTTATCTAAATGTTGATTCAAATTACAGATTTGAAAAGGTTATTTATGAAACAATGTAGTAAAGAACTAGTAAGTAAGGAAGAAAGATGTGGATATGTTTAGATAATAAAATATTCTTTAAAATCTGATAGAGAATTGAAGACATTTGGCTAATTAACATTTTCATAAAGCTCTTAGTCTTGATTAAAATAAATATTTTAAAGAAATGCATTGGCAGTTTGGCAATTCTTTTTTTAAATATAGTTAAGCATGAAGCTGGATTTAGTGTGGAGCCAAATTTCACATACATGCTTGCATTGCTTCACACTATGTTTACTGTTTTGCATGGATAGTGCTGGTACTGGAGTGGTCATGTGCCTAAAGTGAATTTCTTGATTGCACAAGATGTATGATGATATTGGTGAAGTTAAGGATACTGAACTGTGTATCAGGAATAAAATATTCTTTTTTCGGTTTTGGGGGGCCCTGGATAACACTGTAGCCTCCAGGGCAGATTGAATAGGAAAAACTCAGGGTTGGTTTCCTGCTAATTTGTTTTTGCTTCTAATTTTCCTTTGTTTGTTGTTTATTCTCCTTTGGGCTTTGCTTGTGTATGCATATATATAAAACCATGATTTATTTAGTTTCTAATGGAAGGCTTTTATTTGATTTTGTGGATATTTTGTTTCCTCTGTGTTTCTAGCAAGTCATCATTTGTTCCATTTATCTGAAATTCCTAAGCTACCTTTGTTGAGCTTGCAGGAATTAATGGAACACACCAGATTTTTAACCTTAAACTAACTTTTTAGAGTTAGGCTTCCCAATATGTTAAGTGTGTTGAGTATACTTTCATAAATAGAATTTGAGTCATATTTTTCTCTCTGCCTATTTATTCCAAAATTTGTTACCTATTTGTGAATATTCTTAATTCACAGCTTTGTGTTTGTTTGCATACAGTTAAGCAGGACCCCTAAGGCTGCTCAGGGAGAAAGAACTCAGAAGTCTGACATGCAGGAAAAAGGGTAAGAATTTCTTACCAGTCAGACTCTGGCCTCTCAGTCTCTCTCTGTGCAAACTGGTTAAATGAATGGTAAAAGTTACCGTTTATCTCCTCTGTAAAGTTTTGATTATACAAAAAGAATTGTGAGGCTGGTCTTAAGCTATAGTGAATGTGGTGTGTTTTATGTGTCTTTCCATATTGTTCTGTTATAAAGAGGGGTACCTTAGGATAAAATGTGTGCCTAGGATGCCATAGGCTCACTATTCAAGGCGTCCCAGCAAACTGATCAGTCATGTCCTTGAGAAGTTGACCTTGTAACCACATGGCCATGCTTTCTCTTTTCACAATGGTGGACTGGGTTTAGGGTTCAATTCCTGGGAATGAGTCCTTTATCTTCTGTCTGTCTGTGTATTTATATGTGTTTTGTGTATAATATAAAAGAGCTTTAATTATTAGTTTAATGATAAGAGTTTAAATATTTTGTCAGAAAAGTAAAATGTGTAATGCCTTTTAATTTTTATGTTTTTTGAGATGGAGTCTCACTCTGTCACCCAGGCTGGAGTGCAGTGGCACGATGTTGGCTCACTGTAACCTCCACCTCCTGGATTCAAGTGACTTTCCTGTCTCAGCCTCTTGAGTAGCTAGGGCTACAAGTGTGAGCCACAATGCCTGGCTAATTTGGTAATTTGAGTAGAGACAGAGTTTTACCATATTGTTCAAGCTGGTCTCAAAGTCATGACCTCAGGTGATCCACCCTCCTTGGCTTCCCAAAATGCTGGGATTACAGGTGTAAGCCTCCATGCCCAGCCATCCAACACCTTTTATTTAGTTCATGTGACTTAATTAATCTTTGGGAAACAAAGACAGTTTTAAAGATTATTGGTAAAATAAAAATATCTTCAAAAATGTAAACATTTGGCTTAAATTATGCCGGTCAGATATTAGGTTTGCTTTAGGTCATAAACTGCTTCTCTGACTTTTAAAGATTGTTCAATTTATTTTGAAGCATTAGATTCTAGATAAGGCCTGGGGATGTGTGAAATTAGTGATGCTCCCTAGCTATGCAAAGAAAGTTATAAAGAAATTTTATATATTCATATTATATATATGAAAGGATCTTATATGGTAAATTCTTGTCCTAAAGTAAAATAATTGGTTCTTTAAAAGAGGGATGTTTAGGACAAGTCAGGAAGTCCAAGCAAGTCATACATGGTCTCTCTATGTCATGAAAGAATTTATGAAAGAATTAATGCAAGAAATGTTGTACAATTTAAAGGTGATTGAGTCACCTAAATGCTTCATCAAATGCCATCATGACTCTTAATTGTACAACGTGCCTGCTTCATAGTTAGGTAAGGCCTGGGACACATGTAGTTAGACACTGGAAAGAGTCAGACCTTACTGGCACTTCTGTGTGGGTCTTATAGGCTCCACACCTTATACATAATTAAAATTCTAAACTTACCAAAGTTGTTACTAAAAGTAAAAAGTTGCTAAAAGTTAACGTTGTAACATGTAATTGAGACTACTGAAGAAACTGTTTTATGTGCAAGGTATGTAAGAAGAGTAAAATATGTTTTTGGTAAAAGATTATAAGAAGGCATGGGAATGTGGATTTTTTTTTTTTTTTGCCTAAAGTGTTAAAGAATTGTTTTGAGTTAAGATAAAGCTAAAGGTTTGAACAAGTTGTGAAAGGTTTATAAAAAATAAATCTTATAAAAAATTATGTGCTTGAAATATTAATATATATTCCAAAATTACATGGGATTTCTAAAATTCTAATATGTCTGAGTATATGCCATCAATCATAATTATAGTTATTATGTTAATTGATTGTAAATCACAGAAATAACCAAACTGCCTGGTATAAAGCTACTAACCCAAGTAGGACAAAAAATTAATTAAATACCAAGAAAACATTTTGTCAGATTTTCATGTTAAACCAGTTGATACTGAAATTGTTTATATATACAATTTGAATGAACTCCATGGTCTAAGTCAAATTACCTATGATAACCCATTAGTTACTGGTGCTATTCACCTAATTTGAAGAAACAACTGGTATTCAAGAGGATATAAGTCTAATAATGTTAATTAAGCATGAACTCATTGAGAACCAGAATGACCACCTTGTCCTTCCTGAGTCCTTCAAGCTTTTATTATTAAACGTCCTGCATTTCACAACTCATCATGGAAAAGATAAAATGATCCAAATTGAATATATTGGTATGGTGACCTACAAATTGCTAAAATACTTTATAACCAATGTTTGGTCCCATATTCTTGGGAAAACAATCAAAGCTTCAGGTCACCTCATGGGTCATTTAAACATTTTATAAGGGGATTGCATTCAATTGGTTTTTTTTTTCCTTTTTCTTTTTTCCTTTCTTTCTTTTTTTTTTTTTAAACAGAGTCTCTCTGCCACCCAAGCTGGAGTGCAGTAGCATGATCTCAGCTCACTGCAACCTCTGCCTCCCAGGATCAAGGGATTTTCCTGCCTCAGCCTCCAAGCAGCTGGGATTACAGGCATGTGCCACCCAGCTAATTTTTGCATTTTTAGTAGAGACAGGGTTTTACCATGTTGGCCAGGCTCCTCTGAAACTCCTGGTCTCAAGTGATCAGCCCACTTCAGCCTTCCAAAGTGCAGGGATAACAGGCATGAGCCACTGTACCTGGCCTCAATTGTTATTTTCAATACATGTTTTCTGGTTGTATAAAAGTTTTCCCATGCAAGAGGTCTGATGTTATAAAAGTAGATTATAGGCCAGGCGCGGTGGCTCAAGCCTGTAATCCCAGCACTTTGGGAGGCCGAGGCGGGTGGATCACGAGGTCAACAGATCGAGACCATCCTGGTCAACATGGTGAAACCCCGTCTCTACTAAAAATTACAAAAAATTAGCTGGGCATGGTGGTGCATGCCTGTAATCCCAGCTACTCAGGAGGCTGAGGCAGGAGAATTGCCTGAACCCAGGGGGCGGAGGTTGTGGTAAGCCGAGATTGCGCCATTGCACTCCAGCCTGGGTAACAAGAGCGAAACTCCGTCTCAAAAAAAAAAAAAAAAAAAAAAAGTAGATTACACTATGGTGTGTTTTCACCAGGTAAAGGAAGCTTTTTATGGTTTGGATCTTCTGAGAACACCAGAGAAAGACTGTCCTTGCCATCCACACTACAGCAAAACTTTGGGATCTTAAATCTTGGGTTTATAATCTCACAAATGAGAATGTTCCCTCCACACTCTTGGAACTGTACATGCATTGGAAACCTTAAGGTAAAGCTAACTAGGGAAATTTCTCCCCAGAAAAAGATGACATCCTTGATGTGAACAGCTTTTCCCAAGATCATGAATCAAGACTTCTCTGCTATCATGAGACTCTTAACTTTGAATATTTTTTCTTATGCCTCTATGAACAGCAGAAGTGGCAAAGGGGTCTGTTATGTGCACTTATGGGATATATGTTTATTTGTGAAGGAATCTGCAGTCAGTCTTATACATAGATAACCTTGTACTTTGACAGATAAAAGATGGAAGTCCAATGTAGGCAAGAAACTTTAATGGTACTCATAAATCAATCAGAAAGAGAACATTGGTTCACTCCTCTTAATGCACATTAGGGGTTAAAGAGAACATTGCCAGGAAACCTTCCCTCTTCTAGAGGAGCATTATTAGTTAGGTCCTTTTTCCATGGTTTGGAGTAAAATAAGCAATGATGAGAAATGTATCCCTCATGATAGGCTCTATAGCAAACTCTACTGTAAAGTCTACAGTTACACAACAAACTTTAAATTCTCTTGTGAAGGTTACGATAGAATTGGCTGAACAGAGAAGTATCTGTGCAGCTATTGGCACTCACAGCCTATGGAAAAAATACGAGGTATTATAGAGATTCAGTTGTAGCAGATTAATGAAGAGACTGCTTAGTTCGGTGAGTAGATTCTTTATGTAGCCCATTCTTTAATCTATTTAATTTCAGAAGGTTTGGTTTATGGGAACCCTGGGTAAGGAATATGCCCCAAACTCTTGGTATTATCCTCCTGATAGTCATGATTATAATCTCCCTGGTGCACTGTATTCTTTCAAATGTTTTAAATGTTTGCATGTAGCCATCCCTAGAATGTCAGATGGTCTTTCTTCAACTGAAATAACAAGAGCTGAAAGAAATGTGCAACCATGAGGACACTGTAACCTGTGAATGACGTGCTGAGACAGGAAACCCAAAATGATGGTAACTGAGTGTGGTGCTAAGGCTCTAAGTTTTGGTCACATACTTCCCTGAGAACCTGACCACAAAGGGGTAATTTTTTTAAACAAAATTATCGGAGGCCATTGTTTTAGACTGAGCTTATGCATTTTAGACCCCAACAGATCAAACCAAACCAAAATGGAGTCGTTTTTGCTAAGGCCTTACGGAAACGCATAGATCCTAGAACAGAGCACAGACCAGGTTTTGTTTTTCTTCTGCAAATCTCTATAACACACATTCCTGACAGCATAGGTATCTTCCCCCTGAAGTTCCCATTAATCCTTTTAACCAAATACATTTCCTCTTACTTAGAGACCATCAAGCTTCAGATGGTCATGCAACGTGGTTTCCAGCCAGTTCCAAGTGAAGAGACTGCCCCGGTCATCAAAGAACTACCTGCCTCCACTAAACAGAGCAGGGCAAGTGTTCCACGGTCCTCAATAGATAGGAACCAGCAAGAAGTGGTTACAGAAGAAAGACCATCTGTTTCTCCGCCTCTAAAGATTTATGGGGTCACATCTCTCAGGGGGGAAATGAGGCAGGAGAATATGGTCTGGAGGCAGGGGACCTAAGGCCAATTCGCGCTGACTTCCTAGAACTGAATCAAATGAAACGCTTCAGCTATGACAGAGCATATCATCTCCATTTGCACAGGGCGTACACGAGTTAGCAATGGAAACCTCTAGAGGGCATTTAACCCCTGAAAATTCTGTAATGGGGTTCTTGAGCCCTATGCCTGGGCCTGTTCCCACCCTGTGGGGTGTACTTTTATTTTTCAATAAATCCCTGCTTTTCTTGCTTAATTTTTTTTGCTTTGTTTGTGTGTTTTGTCTAATTCTTTGTTCAAGACGCCAAGAACCTGGACACCCTCCACCAGTAACACTCCCGCCTCCTGGCTTCCTTCCTGGTGCCTTCCCAGTGCCCTGCTTTCACCAGGCCAGGGGACAGGAACAGGGTTAGCATTTTCCTTTTCTCTCTGTCCTCATTTGTACAAGGACAGTGCTAACAATGCAACTTCCTCACTAGGTTTTTGTGCAGATCAAACATATCTGGGACATCCAATTGCTTTGAAACATTGCCTGCCATTCAGATTGTAGACAGGAATCACTCACTTCATAGTTGCTACTTTTAGTTTCTTTTCCTCCTTCATTTCTGGCTACACTTTGCATTAGTTTAAATTGTTTCATCAGCGCCCCCTGCTGAGTGCTAATGAAATAATGACCGAATCCTAACTTGGGATGGATCAGACCTATCGAATGGGGGGCAGAGAATGCCAAAGGATTGACATACTAGCATCGTACCAGTACTGACCAGTCAAAACCAACACAGGGCCATGTCTTGGGATGTGCTCCCTGAACCCCAGCCTCGGGGAGTGGAGGAAGGAACCCCTCAGTGTGCCAGGCCCTGTGATGGGGGATCTAGCTGATTACCTTAGTAACTCTCAGCAGGCTCTGAGCTTATTGGAAATGGGTTGTAAACAGTGTTCATGACCCCATGCTCTGTGCTGCAACTTGAACATGGTAGAAGTGATAGAATTCAAGGTACCCCAACTCTCTGCCACCCCAATTTGAGGGGCAAAACCTTTCCTGCTGACCTACCTTTATGCCTGGGTGCCTCCACATACATAATAATTTTTTTTTTTTTTTTTTTTTTTTTGAGATGGAGTCTTGCTCTGTTGTGCAGGCTGGAATGCAGTGGTGTGACCTTGGCTCAATGCAACCTCTGCCCCCCAGGTTTAAGCAATTCTCCTGCCTCGGCCTTCCAAATAGCTGGGATTGCAGGTGTGTGACACCATACCTAGCTAATTCTTGTTTTGTTAGTAGAGACAGGGTTTACCATGTTGGCCATGTTGAACTCCTGATCTCAAGTATCTACCCGCCTCAGTCTCCTGAAGTGATGGGATTACAGGCATGAGCTACCACAACTGGCCTCATAATCAAATATTTTTAGTTAAAGCTTTGAGCTCCGTGTTAAAAAAAGCCAAAAACTCAAGAGGGGAATATGCTGTGCCCTCATCTGACATGAGCAGTGGCCACATCATGTTCTTGATTTTACCCTGTGCTGAGCAGGCCCTGGGGGGACAGGTAGGATGCCTGAACAGGAAGGTCAGAGGACTAGGATTTAAACTGGCTGGGTGACCATGAGCAGGTTACCCAAGGAGGGGGAGAATGCAGACTTGGGCTCTTGGGAGCTTTCTCCGATGAGCTTCTGGATCCCAGGGCAGTAGCCCTTGGCCAACAGGACAACCGAACAAGTTGAGACAAGTCTCTGGTCTGGAGCCTGCGTCAATGTTGTCGGACTAGCATGCTCGGATTCCATTTCTGATTCTGTATGGCTGATCTTTTGCTTTCCATTCTCTGCATCAAACAGTGTATTTATGGGCTCTGGAATCAGACAGACTTGTTTTTAAATGTAGCGTCTACATTTAAAAACATTTAAATGCAAAGTGTAGCCAGCCAAATGGGCTGGGCATGGTGACTCATGCCTGTAATCCCAGAACTTTGGGAGGCTGAGGTGGGTGGATCACTTGAGGTCAGGAGTTTGAAATCAGCCTGGCCAATATGGTGAAATCCTGTCTCTACTAATACAAAACTTAGCCAGGCGTGGTGGCGTGCACCTGTAGTTCCAGCTACTTGGGAAGCTGAGGCATGAGAATTGCTTGAATGTGAGAGGTGGAGGTTGCAATGAGCCAAGATCACGCCTTTGCACTCCAATCTGAACGACAGAGAGAGACTCTGTCTCAAAAAAAAAAAAAAAAAAAGGTAGAATCTGTCACTTATTGGCTGTGGGACCTTGTGAAAATTACTTAACCTCCCTAAGCTTCAGTTTTCTCCTCTGTAAAACAGCTTTATAATATAGTGAGAATTAATAAGTCAATACATATACACAATGTGTACATCTCAGTGCCTGGCACCAATAACCTGTCATTTCATCAGCAAGTTTTATTTTTATTTCAAAATATAACCGAATTCCTACTTTTCTTCCTATCTCCGCTGCTACCATGAAGCCACTCTCACCTCCCTCCAGGTTTATGGAAAGGACCTCCTAATGGATCTGTCTGCTTCTGCTCCGGCACTCACAGCCAGGGCAATCCAGAGCCCAAGTCACCTCCACGTAAAGGCCTCTAACTGGCTTCCTGCTGCGACCACAGCCCTGACAGTTGCCTATCCAGCCAGCCTCGATGCCTTCAATTCTCCCCTCAAACCAGCTGCACGTCCTGCTGAGCAAGCCAAGCTCACTCACTCCTTGAGGTCTTTGCACTGAGATTCCCTCTTTTGGAAAAGGTTCCTCAGGTCCCTGCAGGGTTGGCTTCCTCCCTTCGTTCAGGTCTCAGCTCAATCGTGAGAGTAGCGCCCACCCGTGTCACCCCTGCTGGCACCCCCCAAAATCTCCACTGTGCTCCCATTTGCTCTCTTCACAGCATTGGTCAGCTCCTCACCTACTTAGATGCCCAGCCCCCAGTTTACTGTTGGCCCTCCTCAGAGACGGCCACCTCCATGACCACAAAGACCAAGGTGGTCTGTGGTCATGGCTCTTTCCCCAGACCTTGTCCCTGGTCCTGGACACAGGAGACCCTCTAAACTATTTAGTGAACTTTATTTTACTTTTTAAAATTATTTATTTATTTATTTTAGAGACAGGGTCTCACTATGTTACCCAGGCTGGTCTCAAACTCCTGGACTAAAGTAATTCTCCCATCTCAGCCTCCCAAAGTGCTGGGATTACAGGTGTGAGCCACCAGGCTGGGCTACTGAATAAACATTATTTTTAAATTCTATAAAACACCAGGTTGAAAGTTCTTTTATCGGAGGGGAAGATGTGAAGGTAAAGGCGAATCCTTGGTGCTGCTGAAAACGGTTGCTCCTCAGATTTCTGTGTCTGAGTTTGCCCTCTGCTTTCCTCTTGTGGGGAGCCCTCTCACAGCCACTGCCACCACCCTCCGACCCCCTCTCCCCTGACACCACCACCACCACCACCCCCACCAAACCCCACCCCCGCCGCCTAGAGAATCAGGCGGGTGGAGGCGCAGGGAGAAAGGAACGGGAGTGCCTAAGCAGCGCCCTCTGGTGGGCGCAAACTCCTTGACAAGGAGACCTGAAATCCCTGTCCACACTCTGCCCGCAACTCCATTCTAGCAAGGTTTCCCCTAGTTTGCCCCTCTTGTCCGATGGAACTCAAGCTTGTGCCCTGCCTATGCAGTCACTTGCCACCTTGTATTGCAGTCATCTGGCTCTCTTATGTGGAAAGCCACTGGGGCTGGCTCTGGTCCATCTCTGGGTGCCCCATGGGTAGAACTGTGGTGTCTCTGCCAAATACCCGGCTTTCACGTGTATGTGGGGACGAATCCTGCTTGCTGAGACCCAGGGGCCTACTCCTTGGGATGAACTAATCCTTTGAGTCACTCAGCATGCTGTTGGCTTTGTCTTCGAGTTTTATTATTCTTGTCATCTCTCATCTCATCCCCTAGAGAAAGGGCTTCCCATCAAACCACTTAGCCTCCTGCCAGGGCTAAGCAGGCTCCTTTGGCAGGTCTATCAACCAAGTTACTATATGCAGCCTTTTTTCCTTCTTTCTTTTCTTCCTTCTCTCTCCTTCCCTCCCTCCCTCCCTCCTTTCCTCCCTCTCTCTCTCCCTCCCTTCCTCCTTCCCTCCCTCACTTCCTTCCTCCCTTACTTCCTCCCTCCCTCCCTTCTTCCCTCCCTCCCTTCCTCCCTCCCTTCCTCCCTTCCTTCCTCCCTTCCTCCCTCCCTTCCTCCCTTTCTCCCTCCCTTCCCCCCTCCCTCCTTCCCTTCCTCCTTCCCTCCATCACTTCCTTCCTCCCTTCCTTCCTCCCTCCCTCCCTTCTTCCCTCCCTCCCTTCCTCCCTCCCTTCCTCCCTTCCTTACTCCCTTCCTCCCTCCCTTCCTCCCTTTCTCCCTCCCTTCCCCCCTCCCTCCTTCCCTTCCTTCCTCCCTCCCTTCCTTCCTCCCTTCCTCCCTTCCTCCCTCCCTTCATCTCTTCCTTCCTTCCTGCCATCCTTCCTTCCTTCCTTCTCTCCAGTGGCATGAAGATTGCTACAACCTCCACCTCCCGGGTTCCAGTAATTCTCCCACCTCAGCCTCCAGGGCAGCTGGGACTATAGGCGTGCGCCACTATGCCCAGCTATTTTTTTGTATTTTTGGTAGAGACGGGGTTTCACCATGTTGCCCAGGCTAGTCTCGAACTCCTGAGCTCAAGCAATCCTCCAACCTCGGTCTTCCAAAGTGCTGGGATTATAGGTGTGGCCCACCGCATCTGGCCTCTTCTTTCCTCCCTCCCTCCCTCCCCTCCTCCTCCTCCTCCTCTCCCTCGCTTTCTCCCTCCCTCCTTCTCTTTCTCTCCCTTCCTTCCTTTCCTTTCTTCCTTTCTTCTTTCCTTCTCTTTTTCTTTCTTTCTTCTTTTATCTCTCCCTTCCTCCCTCCCTTCATTTATTTTCTTCCTTCCTTTCTTTCTTTCCTTCCTTCTTTCTTTTTCCTTTCAACTCAGATCACTTCCTGTGGAAAGCAGGAAGCAGACATAGTTTGGGACAGGGCCTCTGAGTGGAAGTCCCAGGTCCTGCCACCTACTCTCTGGATATTCTTTTCCCTGACTGTGAAATGGGCTGATGCCAATCTCTGCCCTGCTGTCCTCATAGGAAGGCTGTGGAGAGCAAGTGAGGTATGGCATGAAATGGAAGATCCATGTCAACTTTAAAATGTGCCCAAAACCTGATTATGCAGTAAGATCATCTGTGTTCGCTTGTTTTGAAAAACTGAAAACTATGACTCCCTATTCCTAC